CTTTTTCAACAAGCGGGACTGACCTAGGGTGAATTTTAAATAGGGATAATTTTTAATGATTTTAAATAGTCACAGCCACTAATATTTGGGTTTTAATTGGTTTTTAGAAGGGGTAATTCTGTATATTGTTTTAACATGCTGTGAGCCGCCCTGAGTCCCATGGGGAGAAGGGCGGCATATAAATTTTGTAAAATAAAAAAAAATAAATAAATGTCAAACACAAGGCCTGGGGGGCCGGATGCAGCCCGCGAAGTGATTTCATGTGGCCCGCGAAGCCATCCTGGAAACAGTGAGGGAACGGCCCCCGCTGCCTTGGCCCTGGTCCAGGCTGGCCAGGAGCCAATGTACAATTTAGTGGTGGCCATCTATGCTGAAACGCATTCAGTCTTAGCTCCACAAGTCCATCTAGAAACAGCGAGGAACCAGCCCCTGCCATGTCGGCCCCGTCCCCTGGGTGCATGCTGGGGAGGTGTCACTCTTTGTGAGGAATGAAGAAATGGACCATGCCTTGGCACTTGCCCCGGTCCCACCGCCCTTCTGCCAGAGACCCTCAGATCTGTCCCACTCCTGCCCAGGTCCCCACAGGCACCCTTGACGCGAACGATGTAGAGCTGGCCACGCCCACCCAGTAGGCCACACCCATTCCATCCATGCCCACCCAGTAGGCCGCACCCACCCTGGCCACACACCCCGCCCCCCCGAGGGCAACCGCAATGCTGTGCGGCCCTCAATGAAATTGAGTTTGACACCCCTGTCTTATTCGATGCAGGCCTGGGCCTCCGAGGCCTAGAATGGACTTCTGGAAGTGGCATCCATGTACTTCCGGTGGATTGTTCTAGGCCTGGGAGGCCTCCGAGGCCTAGAACTGACTTCCGGAAGTGGCATCCACGTACTTCCGGCAGGCCGTTCTAGGCCTCCGAGGCTTCCTCCAGGCCTCCGAGGCCTAGACTGGACTTCTGGAAAGCAGCCAGTTCTCCGAATGCAGCAAAATTTAGCTACCGGTGCAAACCGGCTGAATCCCACCACTGAGTGTGTCCATTTATTTCTCTGGGCAATTTTTTTGCCAGAAACTGGCTGATAAGATCAGGTGCTGGCAAAAAAAAAATTCTTGCAAATTGCATCGCATGACTACAAAATACTGCAGTCGGATGTAAAAGTGAGGCAGCTGCCAAGCACAAAATACAGTCATATGAATGTGTGTGTATTTGTGTGTGTGTGCCCCCATCAGAACTCCAGAACCAGGTTGTAAATAGCTTCGGGGGGATCCATCGTGATTTCAAATGGTCACTAAGTAATAGGTTGCTAAGGAAGGAGTGCCTATACAGGTAGTCCTCGACCCAAAATTGAGCCAAAATTTCTGTTGTTAAGTGAGACATTTGTTAAGTGAGTTTTGCCCCATTTTGCGACTTTTCTTGCCAGACTTGTTAAGCGAATCACTGCAACTGGTAAGTTATTACCCTGGTTGTTAAGTGAACCTGGCTTCCCCCATTGACTTTGCTTGTCAGAAGGTCGCAAAAGGGGATCACATGACCCTGGGACACTGCAACTGTCATAAGTACATGCCAGTTGCCAAGCGTCTGAATTTTGATCACGTGACCATGGGGATGCTGCAATGGTCGCAGGTGTGGAAAACGGTCATAAGTCCCCTTTTTCAGTGCTGTTGTAACTTTGAACAATCACTAATGAACTGTTGTAAGTCGAGGACTGCCTGTACGCCCAATAATCCTGCGGAAAGTCTGGTACAGACAGTTGGAGGAATTTTTAAGCTGCTAAAAGTCACATTTCACCTCAGTTATTTCAGCCATTTTTTGTTCTTTACCTCCAAGTGTTTGGCCAGCCTGCCTGGCTGCACTGGGATAAGGTGTTCGTAGGAGGATAATTTCCTCCGGATGGATTCCTGGTAATGAATTTCAAACTGGACTTTGGTTCCACCTGGGACGCTGAGTTCGGCTTTGAAGTTCTCCATGTCAAAAGCGTTGCTCCTGCATTTAAGTACACAAATTATTATTGTCAGTATTGAAATATGTCAATACAAAGATGTCAAAGTACCCCCATTTAAGTGCAATTGAGTGCTTAAAGTGCAATTGAGTAAAGGGAGAAAGGGGAATATTCCAAATACAGGTAGTCCTCAAGTTACAACCATTCCCTTAGTGACTCCTTAAAGTTACGCCACTGGAAAAAGTGACTTGTGACCATTTTTCACACTTACGACCATTGCAGCATCCCCATGGTCATGGGATCAAAATTTGGATGCTTGGCGACTGGTTCACATTTATGACGGTTGCAGTGTCCCGGGGGGGTCACGTGATCTCTTTTTGCATCCTTCTGACAAGCGAAGTCAATGGGAAAGCCAAGTTTCACTTAACAACCATGTTCCTAACTTAACAACTGCAGTTATTCACTTAACAACTATGGCAAGAAAGGTAGTAAAATGGGGCAAAACACATATCACAACTGTCTTGCTTAGCAATGACAATGTGGGGTTCAGTTGTGGTTGTAAGTTGAGAACTACCTGTATGGCTGTTGACATTGTCCAGGCTTTAAACTAGAGAATATAGTCCAGAGATGCTGGACCGTCTCTGTCCTCCATGGCAGGACAAAGGGAATGGAAGGAAGGCTGATCACTGCAACCAGGGTTACCTACCTTAGGATCGCAGCAGCTTTGCCTTTGGCCTTAGCCCGGGCATACTGACTTCGAGCGGCAGATTTTTCCTTAATTGAACTAGTAAAAGTGATACCGTTGACATTCCTGTAGAACAGAAAAGAAGCAAAAGCAGCACCCAGAATCAGTCACTTGTGAGATGGGCAGCTATAAGAACAGAACACAGAACAGAACATGGGATGGGATTTACAGAACAAGGGATGGAATTAGGATAGGATAGGATAGGATAGGATAGGATAGGATAGGATAGAAAATATGGAATGGAATGGAATAGAGAAGGGAAGGGAAGAGAACAGAAGGGAACGGAATAGAACAGAACAGAGTAGAATATGGAAGGGAACAAAACAGAACAGAACAGAATATGGAAGGGAAGGAAAGGGAATGGAACAGAATAGAATAGAATATGGAAGGGAAGGGAAGGGAATGGAATGGAATGGAATGGAATGGAATGGAATGGAAGGGAAGGGAACAGAACAGAACAGAATATGGGAGGGAAGGGAACAGAAGGGAATGGAATAGAACAGAACAGAGTAGAATATGGAAGGGAACAAAACAGAACAGAACAGAATATGGAAGGGAAGGGAAGGAAAGGGAACAGAACAGAACAGAATAGAATATGGAAGGGAAGGGAATGGAATGGAATAGAACAGAACAGAACAGAACAGAACAATAGAATAGAGAAGGGAACAGAAGGGAATGGAATAGAACAGAATAGAATATTGAATGGAGCAGAGCAGAGCAGAACAGAACAGAATAGAGTACTTGGGAAGGTTGACATCAATCTTGCAAGTTGGAAAGTACAACCTGCTTAGCCTAGGATAAACCTATTCATAAAATTAAATGGATGAACTAGTTTTGCTCCAACTTACATAGTAAAATTGTGGATAAAGGCCCCTTTGGGGATCTGGACATCAAAGGCCAGACTCTGTGAGTGCTTGGCTCTGTTTTCCACTTTGGTCTGGACCATCGTATTGGCCATGCGGGAGGTGATGGTGGACTGGATCTTGTAGCTGTGGAGGACTATTTTGTCATCACCAAGAATCTGAAATGATGAATACATGGCAGGAAGGGTCAACAAAAGCAGAACTGGGATTCCAAATATGGTCCCACAAATATCCTAATGGCAATTTTATTGTTGACTTGATTAAACATTGAGATCCAATCAGAGGTAGATTTTAGATAGAACGTCACGATGCCAGGTGTACCAGCTACATGATTGCAGGATGAATTTATAAATTTATACAGCTGTGTTAGAAATATTGTATAGGAAATCATATGTTAACTAACTCAAGTTTTCAACACAGTTATTGATTATACAGCCTCTGAAATCCATTAAACTTACAGTAAACATAAGAATTAATTAAACACTTAGTTAAACACTTATTTCAAATAGTAAACACACACAAGCAAACGTACAAAACTCAATTAATACAATATAAACATAATTATGACACTCACCATTCAAACAAAGAGACCCAATCCACATCACTTGATTTAATCAACCCTTTCTTGGGGCAACATGTATACAGAATCATAGCCAGCATGATACACATCCACACCCCTTAAGACTCACACCAATAAATCTCCTTTCTTCACAGCTGTCTGGATTTCATTTTGATTTATTCCTGTGCAATCCTGGTTCAAGTTAGAACCCAAATTATTTTTCTGACATGATCAAAGCTCTAATACTTATCTTGAATTTTTTATATATATATGTGTGCACACCATAGACACCCTTTGGGGCGAACACTGAGATTCATCAGTGATGTTATTTGTTCCATTTTCACAAGTCTAGTTGGTCTAGTTCAGGGGTAGGCAACCTTGGCTCTTTTATGACTCATGGACTTCAACTCCCAGAATTCCTGAGCCAGCTCAGGAATTCTGGGAGTTGAAGTCCACGAGTCATAAAAGAGCCAAGGTTGCCTACCTCTGGTCTAGTTTAAATGAGCAAACAGATGATATGGAACCAGAAACAGGTCCAAATCATATCACTGATGAATATTCAAGCAGCTAAATTTGCAGAGAGAGCAAATTTGGGGCAGATTAAGGCACCAGACTAAAAACCAGGAGACAGTGAGTTCTAGTCCTGCTTTAGGCACAAAGTCAATTGGGTGACTTTAGATCAGTCCCTCTTTCTCGGTCCTAGGAACAAGAAGACCAGGGCAAACCACTTCCAAAATATTGCCAAGGCAGTAGCAGGAACTAATCTAGGTGGTCACAGGGAGTCCAGACTGGTTCAAGGATTATCTTAATTCCCACAAATGGATGAATGGCTGCAAAAAATGAAGGAGTTAGCAGAGATGGCTAAACTGTTTGCTTTAATTAAAGAAAAGAACACAACCAATTTTGTTTCTACTTGGAAACCACTCCTGGACTTTGTGCTTGAGGTGGGGGAAAAAAATGAAACTTTGATTTTGGGTTTTGCTGATTAGATAGGCTTGTTGTTATAGAAATGGCTCTAGAAATCACGCAAAAGTAAAAAGCTGAGGCTGCAATTTTATTACTTTATCTTATTGTGCTAAAAAGAGCCGGACGTCAATGCTTTTCTTTCTTTTTCTCCTTTTACCCTGCACTTTTTCCTTCCTTCCTTACAAGCCATAAAGGCCTTGACTTGCTTTGACCGAGCTAAAACCTTTTCTCCGTTGTCGCTTAAGCATCCCGTGACAACATTGCACAATAAAAAGCACCAGGTTAATAATATTCTGTTTTCTCCCTGAAGAGGAAAAACAAGAAGCCCTAAGCAAACGGTAGGATTGATCTTCTGCTAATGGTTAACTGCGAACTGGGAAGGAGAGGTGGCCCTTTTCCGAAGAGAAAAACATCCAAATGAAAACTCACCAATTCTTCCTCATTTTCACTGTTGGAGGTGCTTCTCTAGAAAGAAAGAAGAAGCTGGTTTAGACAAACCTTGATGGCAGCATGAACAACCTTGTAACTTGGACCCCTTTGAACGTCTGATGAAACCGATCAACTCCTATGATGTTCAAACATGGTTATCAAAATATTTTAAAAATAACTCATCTGTTAACAGGGCGCTTTGAACTTTAACTTCGCGGGTGTTTAACCTGTTAACTATTTTTCTCTCTCAGGTGTGTAATGTATGACAAGTCCATTGGGTTGCAAATAGCTGTAAAAGCTTATATATTTTGGGCCTGCTTGCAAAGGTGGGCGTTATTATTGTTGCCATAGATTGGTCGGTGTTCAACTAGGGGAGATAATATGTCCTTTGTTCTTATGAATTCACTTTTTAAAATGTTTTTGTTTAGTTTTGTTTTGTCTCTAGGATTTTGTATTTTAATCTTTTGAACAAAACAAAAATTAAAAAAACTAATATTCCATGAAGCAACACATTGAAAAAAAAGTTATTTTCTTTTCCCATCCAAATTCATGGTCCTTCTATCTTCTGGAGAACCTCTTCAAGGTCCATGGAGCTGATGCTAAAAACCTTTGCGGTAAGGACTTTATTTTTCCTAATCATATCCTACTTAAATCTTCTCATCTGCATATACCTGTGGGTCACCCAAATGGAATTTAAAATGTCAAAAAAATCTCTTTAGAAAAAAAAGAGCATCCATAAAAGAACAATACAAATCAATTGATCAACAAATAAACATTGATCAAATTCCAGTAGTTGATTCCAGTATGGAATGAATCACTTAGATGCAAAACCAAAGAAATTCTAGGAAGAAAACAACCAGAAGAAATAAGATTTGGGAAATGCAACTTTGGCGGACACTGAAACACAAAAATACAGAAACCACGATATTGATAGTCCTTATAACGGTTCGTTTAGTAACCATTTGAAGTTACAATGGCACTGAAAAAAGTGACTTATGTTAAGATATTTAATTTAATAGTTGTAATAGTAAAGTGTATAATGGGCCAGAACACACAGTTGTAGTTGATTGGTTGGAGTGTGAGGACTCCTGCGTGAGGCAATCTACGTTATGATTGGTCGCTGGGTGAGAAGGGGGAGTTTCCCTTTTTCCCGCCTTTTTCTTCTGTATGCTTTGTATGCTGTTCTGTGTTTTACTTGATGATTTACCTCATGATGTAGTGATGGGCCTAACTATCTTGTTTAGTGGAAATATAAATATAAAACATATTTATTTATATAAAACTACAAGTTTGTGTCAGGGTCTCTGACTCCATTTGAACACCTGCTGCACAATTCCCTGACAACGTATGACCATTTTTCACACGACCATTGTAGCATCCCCATGATCATGTGATCAATATTCAGACACTTGGCAACTGATTCATATTTATGACGGTTGCAGGTCCTGAGGTCAACGTGATACCCTTTTGTGACTTTCCGGCAAGCAAAATCCATTGGGAAGCCAGATTCACTTAATAACTGTTGGACTAATTTAACAGCTACAGTGATCCACTTAACAACTGGCAAAATTAACTACTTTGATTGGAGATAATGGACTAGACAGCTATGTAGGAGACTGGAAACCTTTTGTGGACTTTCTACATGCTAAATACAATAAGAGATGGTTAACAGAGGGATTTGAAGATTAGTGGAATGTTTAGTTCAACCTGTTGACTGCTTTTTCTTTTTGAAGAAAAAGCAGTCAACAATCTATATATATAGACTATATATATATAGACAGTCAATACTGTGTGTGTGTGTGTGTATTGCTGACTGCTTTTTCTTCAGGAAAATCTATATATCTATATCTATCTCTATATTTATCTATCTATCTATCTATCTATCTATCTATCTATCTATCCATCCATCCATCCATCCATCCATCCATCCATCCATCCATCCATCAATCATCTATCTATCTATCTATCTATCTATCTATCTATCTATCTATCTATCTATCTATCTATCTATCTATCTATCTATCTATCTATCTACCTATCTACCTATCTACCTATCTACCTACCTACCTATCCATCCATCCATCCATCAATATCTGTCTGTCTGTCTGTCTGTCTGTCTGTCTGTCTGTCTGTCTGTCTGTCTGTCTGTCTGTCTATCTATCTATCTATCTAAAAGGGAGGAAAATGTATTGCTTTTTCTTTTCTTTTTCTTTTCTTTCAGCACTCAGCCAGGGTGGATCCTACATGTTAAATTTAATTGACCACTTTTTCCTCCTTTTTGTGTACACTATTTTTTTTGTTGTTGTTAGGGTTGAATGCACGTTTTTGTTTAGTTTCATTTTGTTTGTTTTACTGTTCTGTATTTTATTCTATATGATAAAACAATACATTTAAATTATATATATGAACAACTGTGGTAAGAAAGGTCATAAAATGGGACAAACTCACTTAACAAATGTTTCACTTAGCAACAGAAATGTTGGGCTCAATTGTGTTCGTAAGTCAAGGACTACCTGTACTTAATGAGGTAACATCACCAGTGCTAGTGAGTGTGAGGTTTGCTTCCTATTTATATACAGTAACTTGCCCTGCCAAATTTCTCCTTGGTTGTTCCTTGATTAGAGTATTGTTTTCTGCTTGATTGGTTGATTGGGATTAATCCCTGCTTCTTTAGATATTCTCTGCTGGTTGTTTTGTTTCTTTCTTAGCTTTTAATTGTTTCTCTTGAATGGTGTGTAATTATGGTGTCTATTGATGGCTGATCTATCTGAATGCCAGGTTTCCAGGAATCCTTTAGTGTTTTTGGATTTAGCTTGGTCCAGGATGCCGACAGTTTCCCAGTTGAAACTATGGGTTGGTTTGTCCATGTGTTGTAAGAGTTTTCATCATGTCTTCTGACTGCTAGTTGGTCTTCACGGATGTGCTCTGCTAATCTTCTGCCAGCCTGTCCTACATAGTGTATGTAGCATATGATTCTACTATATATAAACTATTATACAGTATGACTCTACTGTACGGATTTTATTGTGTACAATAGATGACTCTAGTATATATAACTATGTCTCTACTGTATTTACGTGTTGTTCAATTACTAAGTTGTTTCCGACTCTTCGCAACTCCATGGACCACAGCACACCAACCCCCCCCCCACTGTTTCCCGAAGTTTGCCCAAATTCATGTTCATTATGTCAATGGCACTAACTAACTATCTCATCCTCTGCTCTCCCCTTCTCCTTTTGCCTTCCATATTTCCCAACATCAGGGGTCTTTTCCAAGGAGTCTTCTCTTATCATTTGGTGGCCAAAGTATTTGAGCTTCAACTTCAGGATCTGTCCTTCCAAAGAACAGAATTGATTTCCTTTAGGACCAACTGATTGGATCCCCTTGTAGCCCAAGGGACTCTCAAGAATATTCTCTAGCACTACAATTCAGAAGCTTCAGTTTCTGTCAATAAAATCTGTCAATATATAGATGACTCTATTGTATATAAGCTACTGTATATAAAAGGGAGGAAATCTCACACCCACTTGCACTGATGATGTTATCTAGTTGGGTTGTGAAACATCTGCAAGGCATCCATCAAGCTCAGAGAGCATCAAGGACTCCAGACTTTCTGACTGTTGCCAGGAAAATGATATGGATGTATCCATACTGTTCCCTGGAGTTAAGCTTGACTCAAGAAAATCTTCCCTTCTATCAAAGAAAAACGAATATGGTTGCTCTCCACACCTCTCTCAGTTCCACCCCACCATTGTACAGATAGTTCTCAACTTACAACAGTTCATTTAGTGACCGTTCAATGTTACAACAGCACTGAAAAAAGTGACTTAGGACTGTTTTTCACACTTACGACTGTGGCAGCATCCCCGTGTCACATCATCAAAATTCAGCCACCTGGCAACTGACTCATATTTATGATGGTTGCAATGTCCTGGGGTCATGGGATCCCCTTTTGCAACCTTCTGACAAGCAAAGTCAATGGGGGGAAGCCAGATTCACTTAACCACCGTGTTACTAACTTCACAACTGCAGTGATTCACTTAAGAAAGGTCGTAAAATGAGGCAAAATTCACTTAACAAATGTCTCACTTAGCAACAGCAATTTTGGGCTCAATTGTGATCGTAAGTTGAGGACTACTTGGATCATTAAATTCCTATGACCACCAACCATTAAATTCCTATGACCACCAACCAACGCACTGGTCTAATTCCATTTGCCACTTTTTATTTTATGGGAATGCTGCAGAAGCTGACATTTAGGTGGCCGTTCTGTTTGCAAAATTATAAAATAATCATCTGTACCTGTGATCTGCCCCTTCGCAGCTGCGGGCTTGAGATGAAGCCCCTGGTCTCCAAGTCAAACAGCTCTGCCAGTTTCTGGAAGTAAAACCACTGAGAAGATCAGAAAAAGGAAGCCACACACAGGATTATCAAATTAAACTGGAAAAAAAAAGTCCCATCATTATTGGGAGCAATGCAGAAATGATTAAGGGCTGTGTGCTTGGAGCACAACGTACAATAATTGTGTACCTTGCCTTCGGATGGCTTGCCTTCAGAAGCTGTGGGTCCTCCAACACTGGAGGTTTTTAAGAAGAGATTGGACAACCACTTGTCTGAAATGGTAAGGGGGTTGGACTAGAAGACCTCCAAGGTCCCTTCCGACTTTGATATTCTGTATTCTGTCAACCCACAATAGATTATGTTCCATGATACATTCCCAATGGGATATTGACTTGATTCAACTAATAATAATAATAATAATAATAATAATAATAATAATAATAATAATAATAATAATAATAATAATAATAATAATAATAATAATAGTAATAATAATAAAGTTGGAAGGGACCTTGGAGGTCATCAAGTCCAACCCCTTGCTCAGGCAGGAAACCCTATACCATTTCGGACAAATGGCTGTCCAGTCTCTTCTTAAAAACTTCCAGTGTTGGAGCATTCACTGCTTCTGGAGGCAGGTTGTTCCACTGGTTAATTGTTCTAACTGTCAGGAAGTTTCTCCTTAGTTCTAGGTTGCTTCTCTCCTTGATCAGTTTCCATCTGTTGCTTCTTGTCCTGCCTTCAGGTGCTTTGGAGAATAGCTTGACTCCCTCTTCTTTGTGGCAGCCCCTGAGATACTGGAAGACTGCTATCATGTCCCCCCCTCATCCTTCTCTTCATTAAACTAGACATACCCAATTCAGCAACCGTTCCTTATATGTTTTAGCCTCCAGTCCCCTAATCATCTTTGTTGCTCTTCTCTGTACTCTTTCTAGAGTCTCAATATCTTTTTTGCATTGTGGTGAACTGTTAAATAAAGCCATGGCATATTTAATAATTATGTATCGAATACACGTCTTCCTCAATTTACAACCATTTGTTTAGTGACTGTTGGAAGATACAACAAGACAAGAAAAGTGACTTATGACTGGTCCTCACACTTACAACCATCAGAGCATCCTCACAGTCGTGAGATCCAAATTCAGGTGCTTGGCAACCGGAATGGATTTACAACAATGGCAGTATCCCGCCGTCATGTGGTCACCCAACTGGCTTCTGGTAAGCAAAGTCAATGGGATAACCCGGATTTGCCTAAAGTGATTCACTTTAACAACTGCGGTGATCTGCTTGCTTAACAACTGTGGCAAAAAGGTCGTAAAATCAAACACCACTCACTTTACAACCTCCTTGCTTAGCAACAGAAATTCTGGTGCCCGTCGTGGTTGTAAGGACTACATACAGGGTGACTTGGAACCAGGCAAGATACAACATGAAGTTGACTACTTCGCAAGAGAGAAAGAGGAAGGACAGTCACTGGGGAAGCCGGATAACATGATAACATGTTACTAACTTAAGAGCTACAGTGATTCACTTAACAACTGTGGGAAGAAAGGTCGCAAAATCGAGCAAAACTCACTTAACAACTGTCTTACCACAGAAACTTTGGGCTCAGTTGTGGTAGTAAGTCAAAATCTACCTGTATTGCGTACCTGGTTATGCACACTACCTTGATACTAGCCCCTTTGACATGGATCTCTTCTCGTACCTGAATATTTCTATTAATATTAGGATTGAAAGATCTATGGAAACCCTTTCTACCAGAACATGCAGGAAGAGGGATAATAAAGACAGTTCAATCTTAATTTGGACAATTATGTTAACTTCAACCCCCCTGTAGATACAAGGTTGATTGCCCAGGATAAAAACTCTTACCTCTGGGTCTTCTTCCACAACAAAGTCAAAACTCTGGATTTCCGACACCAGCAGCAGCTGAAGCACCATAAAACAAGCGACAAGGAACTTCATTTTTTCCCCTTTCCCCTTCCAGGGAACAGTGAACATTTAATATGTCCAGTTCCGCACCATCCAAAACTGGGGGTGGACTTTTTTTTGCTATAGATCCAAGTTCAAAGGAGTGTGCGGGTGCTCTTGTGTGAAAAAAGGCAAACCACAAATCCTCTTGGTTGTGTTGTGTTTTGCAGGCTCTTTAGCAAGGCTAACCTTGTTTGGGCAAACGCAAATATTTGCCCAGCAATGCTGGTGAGGCCACGGGTCAGGGGCTGTGCAAAGGGCCAAGTCTCTTGATAATGGCTTCAGAGTAACAAAATAACAGAGTTGGAAGGGACCTTGGAGGTCTTCTAGTCTAACCCCTGCTCTAGCAGGAGACCCTATATACCATTTTAGATAAATCGTTGTCCAATCTCTTCTTAAAAACCTCCAGTGATGGAGCATCCACAACTTCTGGAGGCAAGTTGTTCCACTAGTTAATTGTTCTCACTGTCAGGAAGTTTCTTCTTAGTTCCAGGTTGTGTCCCTCCTTGATCAGTTTCCATCCGTTGCTTCTTGTCCTGCCTTCAGGAGCTTTGGAGAATAAGTTGACCCTCCTGTTCTTTGTGGCAACCCCTGAGATATTGGAAGACTGCTATCATGTCCCCTCCAGTTTTGCTTAGACTAGAAATACCCATGATCTTCCTGCAATGGTTCTTCATGTGACCTCTAATCATCTTTGTTGCTCTTTGTTGTCAGCCTTGTTGTCTTTATTGTCCGCTTGCACACACTGGATCGGCTGAGCTTCTCGTTCTTCACACCACTTGCTTTGCCCTACACGGCTGGGCTGAAGATCTGGTGGCGTCGGAGAAGAACAGGCTACAAATGGAGCAGTTCTGTGGATGAGAGAGGCTGGTCTGACAATACTGCAGACCCAGAAGGGAGCAGAAGATGCTGGATTATGAGATGGGAAACCCAAGTCCTAGTCCCAGTTTAGCCAGAGGAGGCCCCTGGGGGCTATGGGCCAATCCTTCCATCTCAGACCAAAAGCTAGGATGCTTTAGTGATGAAATTGTTGGGTTGGGAGCAGGGAAATTTAGGTTTTAGTCCACCCATGTGTAGGGGAAGGCGTGGCAAAACCTGGGGGTGGAGTTAAAAAAAGGATCAGCCTAGAATCCTTACATAGTCACAAGCGGACTAAGTCCAACCTTTCATGGATTCTGAATCTTATCTAACTCCAAGCAGGTGCTAACTATTAGTTGAGAAGATTCCTGTGCATAGGGTTTAAGCAATAAATCAGTTTAGCTCGGGGGTCTTCAAACGTGGCCCTTGTATGACTTGTGGACTTCAACTCCCAGAATTCCTCAGCCAGCGTGCCTGGCTGAGGAATTCTGGGAGTTGAAGTCCACAAGTCATAAAAGGGCCAAGTTTGAAGACCCTTGGTTTAGCTGGGCCTTCATGTGTGGACCTGATCTTTCACATCTGACACCCAAGGAGTTAATAGATGATATGCAGCCAGTTACAGGTAGTCCTCAACTTCTGACCACAACTGATCCCAAAAGACAGTTTTTAAGTGAGCTTTGCCTCATTTTATGACCTTTTTTGCCACAGTTGTTAAATGAATCGGTGCCATTGTTAAGTTAGAAACACGGTTGTTAAGTGAATCTGGCTTCTCCATTGACTTTGCTTGACAGAAGGTCGCAAAAGGTGATCACGTGACCCCAGGACACTGAAAAACACATTCAGAGAATTGTGTTAAAGCAGGGATGGGCAACTTTATGACCTGTGGACTTCAACTCCCAGAATTCCTGAGGCATTACTATGATCAAATGAATCAATATGCTGCAAATGTATCAATTTAATTTTTAGGAGGGTAAGTGTCGATCAGTACAACCCATTCCAACCAAAAGCTCCGTAATTTTTAAAAGTGGGAAGGGTTCCTGAGCGTCAAAAGTTTTAAGAAATGCTAATTTAATATAATTTCTTTGGGCTGCACATAGTTAGATAACCACTAGGTGGCAGAACGCCCTAAAGGAAGAACGTCACAGATTCGCCATTGATCTGTACTTTTGTTGTACATTGTTGGTGCCTTATGGGACTCCTTTTTTATTTTTAATATATTTTATTAAATATATTTCAACCCAAGGGCCTTGTCGAGCAACCTTCCAAACCTCATGGTGTTTTCACACAGCCCTCAGACGCCAATCAATCTAAGATCCAACAACTTCATGACACACTACAGCACACGTAGCCCTCGACCAGATCCTCGCACTTATGAGAGTCACAGCATCCCCACGGTCCTGTGATCAAAATTTGAGCAACCCGTGTGCACAGGGTGGTCCTCGACTTACAATAGTTCGTTTAGTGACCATTGGAAGTTACAACGGCACTGGAAAAAAAATGACTTATGGCCTTTTTTCACCCTTACGACCGTTGCAGCATCCCCAGGGTCACGTGATCAAAATTCAGAGTCCTAAGTCCTCCTGTTCTAAGCGGTGAGCCTCCTAGACCAGGGGTAGGCAACCTTGGCTCTTTTATGACTCGTGGACTTCAACTCCCAGAATTCCTGAGCCAGCATGGCTAAGCATGGAAACCTCTCCCTTTCCCCTCAGCATGGCTGGCTCAGGAATTCTGGGAGTTGAAGTCCACGAGTCATAAAAGAGCCAAGGTTGCCTACCCCTGGCATAGGGCCTTCTTTTTCAACTGGAAGGGTTGAACCAGATGACCTCCAGGGTCCCTTTTACTCTGTTATTCTCCCAGAAGGAGAGAAAATAATGCAAAGACGGTTTTTTGTTTTTTCCCCAACCTCAGATTTTGCCTTGGTTTGGATGTCTCCAAGAGTCGAGCAGCAGCTGTCTGGATCGGAGTCCCACCACTTTGAGCCAGCTGGCAACCAACTCCAAGATCTGACTCAGAAGGAACCAAGTGGCTGGGGGAGATGTTGGCCTCCCAGCCTAGGTGGACCTGAAACCACACAGAACTTCCAACATGACTGAAGTGCTTCTCCAGAATGTGCCCAAGGGACCGACCCAGTGTTCAGACACCACCGCCTTCAGTCTCAACAGGCAACCAGCCACTCAGGGAACACGTCTGGCCCATTGACCATGGGCAGGCTCACGTCCCGGGCAGCTGCAATCGTGGGACACCCAAAGCCAAGCCAAACAGACCTTGGAAAGAGGTCAGAGCAAGACAGATCAGAGGCAGAGGACCGAGAGGTGTGTGTGTGTGTGTGTATGGGGTGGAGGAAGGGAAGTAGACAAAGGTCGCATTCTGGACTTTTCTTGCCTCGTGAATCCTCTTGTGTGGTGGGTTTAATTTTGCCGGATGGATTTGTCTTCTTTGGGAGACTCTCAAGTGCCTTGTGGACTCCTTGGCCGTTTGCTCTGTGGATTAGCATATGGCTGGACTTCATTGGGACAGTTCTGGGTTTTTTGGTGAAGGGAATTGCTGGGGAATATTAATAAATCCACTAAACCAACATTGTGTGTGTGTACGTGTGCGCGAGTGAGTAGGACAACAATGCTTGCTGGTTTTCTTGCAGACGTTTCATTGCCATACTAGGTAACATCATCAGTGCTAGAAGGGAGTGAGGTTTGCGGGGGAGGGAGGGGAGGAGGAGGAGGAGGAGAACTGTGGGGTCCTTGGTGCCCTCTGAGCTTGCTTGTTTTCTTGCAGACGTTTCATTACCCAACTAGGTAACATCATCAGTGCTAAACGGAGTGGGATGCTCTCTGAGTTTGCTTGTTTTCTTGCAGACGTTTCATGACCCAACTAGGTAACATCATCAATGCTAGAAGGGAGTGGGGTTTGTGGGGGGGAGGAGGAGGAGGAGGAGGATTGTGGGGTCCTTGGTGCTCTCTAAGCTTGCTGGTTTTCTTGCAGACGTTTCATTGCCATACTAGGTAACGACATCAGTGCTTGAAAGGAGTGGGGTGTTCTTTGAGCTGGGTGGTTTTCTTGCAGACATTTCACTACCCAGGTAGGTCATATCATCAGTGCTGATGGTGTAATGAAATATCTGCAAGAAAACAACCAACCTCAGAGAGCATCAAGGACGCCTCATGGGGGCCTGGTTAGTAGCCAGATTTGAGGACCGGCTGCCCTTGGAGGGTGGAGGGCACTAACAACTATGGTGATGCCCTTCACTGCTGTGGCAAGAAAAGTCACCAAGTGGGGCAAAACTCACTTAACAGATGTCTCGCTTAGCAACGGAAACGTTGGGCTCAATTGTGGTCGTAAGTCGAGGACCATCTGTATGTTAGTCCCTTCATTTCTTAGACACCAAGCTGTGAATGCTCCAACACTGGAAGTTTTTAAGAAGAGACTGGACAGCCATTTGTCTGAAATGGTATAGGGTTTCCTGCCTGAGCAGGGGGGTTGGACTAGATGACCTCCAAGGTCCCTTCCAACATTATTATTATTATTATTATTATTATTATTATTATTATTATTATTATTATTATTATTATTATTATTATTATTATTATTATTATTATTATTATTATTATTATTATTATTTCTTTTGCATGCTTGCTTTTCAGATGGTGGCCTTCATACGTCTTGAGATCCAGCCCATCTCACAAAACTCACAACTCGATTCTTCGTTTGGGCGTTGGGTATTAGGAGAACAAAGGAGAACAAAGATGATCGGGGGACAGGAGATTAAAACATATGAAGAACGGTTGCTGGAATTGGGTATGTCTAGTTTAATGAAGAGAAGGACGAGGGGGGGACATGATAGCAGCCTTCCAACATCTCAGGGGCTGCCCCAAAGAAGAGGGAGTCAAGGTACGCTCCAAAACACCTGAAAGCAGGACAAGAAGCAATGGATAGAAACTCATCAAGGAGAGAAGCAACCTAGAACGAAGGAGGAATTTCCTGAAAGTTAGAACAATTAACCAGTGGAACGTCTTGCCACCAGAAGTTGTGGGTGCTCCATCACTGGAGGTTTTGAAGAAGAGATTGGACCGCCGTTTGTCTGAAATGGTACAGGGTCTCCTGCTTGAGCAGGGAGTTGGACTAGAAGACCTCCAAGGTCCCTTCCAACTCTGTTATTCTGTTACCTCAACCAATGACCCAGAATTAGGGATGAACATGTTTGGGGAAAACCCATCTTTGTTGTTGGGGGAAAAAGAAAATCTGGCATCAATCATTCAAAAACAAAAAAACAAACCCCCAGGCTCTCCAATGTTTTGGCCAAAAGTGACTTTTGTCACAGCAGGATGCTCCGTGCCCAGTCTGTCCCTGGACACGAGGCCACCTAACATGGAGGTGGAAGTTCTCCTGAGCTTCACCCAGCCTTCTGCTATGCTGAACTCCAGCAAGGAATGGCTGAGTCTTAGCTCTGAGCTCTGCAAAAGGGCTGAACCGAGGGAGGAGGGAGGGGAAGGCAGCCAGCCAAGACTCTCAGGTCACGTCCGTCCCTCTTCCAGCGAGCGGGAGACAGAAGTGGGATCCAGGAGACCTTCTCCGCCCTTTCTTGACTTCTGCCTCTCTTCTCGGGAGTCCCACTGCACCATGGCCTGGCTCCTTTGCTTGGGGTGCAGTCTGCTGGTGGTCTCTGCACAGCAAGATCCTGAACTCTTAGCCCAGGATTTGGAAGAGGCTGGGATTACGGATTATAACCTCATTGACAATGTAAGTTTGTTTGTGTTTGTGAGGGGGGGGGAGAAGAGGGAGGAGAAGCCTGATCTGGGTGATTACCTCTGTGGGGTGATTTCTTTGAACTGGAAAGGA